TGAGCAGGGTCTGGAAGTCCCCGAGGCTGAGGAGGTCGAGCTCTCCCTGGCGGATGCTGTACCGGTGGAAAACGTCCACCACGCGCTGCAGGGCCATCTCCAGGGTGCAATTCCCGGGGAACTGCCGGCCCTCGGCGTGGCTGCGGGTGCTGCCCGACATGGCTGAGTTACGGGGGTGCCTGCAGAGACGGGGGGGGGAACCCCCCCAGAGATGTGAAATCGGGTGTAAATTATATTCAATATATTGAATATAAGGCCAAATTGCAGGTATTTGTAGTGTATATTGCAAAATAAATAACATTATGTATATATATATATATATATGTATATATTACATATATAACATTATATATATAAAATAGGTGCTATAATAACATTATTTATATTATATATATATTATATATTATGTTACTTATGCATATAATATAATATATAGGTACTATGTATCATATGTGATGTTACTTATATATATAATATAATATATAGGCCCTATGTATTATTTATGATTTTACTTATATATATAATATAATATATAGGTACCATATATTATTTATGATTTTACTTGTATATATAATATATAGGTCCTATGTATGATTTATGATTTTACTTATATATATAATATAATATAATATATAGGTACCATATATTATTTATGATTTTACTTGTATATGTAATATAATATATAGGTCCTATGTATGATTTATGATTTTACTTATATATATAATATAATATATAGGTCCTATGTACTATATATGATGTTGTTTATATGTTTAATGTGTGTGCTGTATATTTATACAACCCTAAATTTTATATGTGCTGGGTTATTTAGTATCTATATTGCAATGTATTAAAAATATAGATTATAATTAAATATATGTGTTTTGGTTTTGCATGTAGTGCCAAATTGTATATTGTGTTATTTCTATATATAATATATCTGTATTATGTGATATATATTATATTACTTACATTATATATTATAATTTATATTACATACATTGCCTATTATAATTTTTATAATGATAGCTATAAATTATAGTTATCTTTATAAATTATTTCTATTTTTATATATTATATTTTATGTTATATCTATATTATATTCTATCTATATTATATCTATATTATATTATATCTATATTATGTTCTATCTATATTATATCTATATTATATTATATCTATATTATGTTCTATCTATATTATATCTATATTATATTATATCTATATTATGTTATGTTATATTATGTTATGTTATGTTGTATTATGTTATATTATGTTATATTATTTTATACCATAATAATTATCTTAATTATAGTCTAGTCTAGCATATATAATGCCAAACCATATCTATATTATTTTAATACCCAATAAATAATATTTTAATCACACACACATACACTACAATAAACCACATGCCCCATACATCACACACATCCCATATCACACCAGAATTTATTTCCACCCTCGGAGCCCCCCCACGGCCCCACTCACGTCGGTGTGGAGGAGGGAGAACACGGAGCGGGTGCCTTTGTCCCTGGGTGAGCTCCGGGAACCTCGGGCAGCCCTTTTATCCCCGCCCGAGGGGCGGTTTCGCCACCACCAGCCGGTGCCACACCTGGCACAAGCAGCGACTCGAGCTCGGCTCTTCCCGCTCCTGCAAATTGCCGGGTGGGCCCTTCCCGAACCTTCCCTTCCCTTCCCGAACCTTCCCCCGGCCCCTCCCGGCTCGTTCCTCGTTCCTGGTTGCACCCACCGACCCTTTGGGACCACCCCAAACCAAGGGGGTGACTTTGCCCTCTCCCCCCGATTCTGTTTTTCGTGTTCTCTGCTTCCCACAACCCCCAGCTGGGTGGGGGATTCTCCCCGGGGTGAAGAAGAATCCCCCTTTCGAAGTCGTTTTTCCCGAGGATTTTCCGCTCCTTTCCGTCTTCACGCCGCCCCTGCCAGACCTTTCCCCCGTCGCTCCAGGAATTTTCCGGAGCGAGCCAGGCCTGAAACGGGAAGAAAAAGCCAACGAAAATCCAAAGAAAAGCCAAAAAAAAGCCAAAAAAA